TTTGGGGCAGCCCCTGAGATATTGGAACACTGCCATCCTGTCCCCCCTCCTCCTTCTCTTCGTTAAACTAGACATACCCAATTCCAGCAGCCGTTCCTTATATACTTTAGTCCCCTAATCATCTTTGTTGCTGTTCTCTGTACTCTTTCTAGAGTCTCAACATCTTTTTTAAATCGTGGTGACCAAAACTGGATGCAGTATTCCAACTGGAAATAAGAACATTCTCTCTCTACCATTGCAAAGTAAGAGAACTACTGTAGACTGGATGGAAAAGAGCATCACTTAAAATCTCCTTATGAGCATTGGGAATTTTTAAAGGTTGCAGATCTTCTGCCTCTGGGAATAGGAGGAGGAGATAGATGGAGGTGTTCAGGGTTCAGACTAAGCAGAAAAGAGATAGGTAAATACAAGAAATTAAAATTTTCGGCCACTAGAGAGCAACATTAGCATGTCATCTACTTCCATATCCTTCCATTTGCCTCTGGACGTTTTAGTGCCTTCCCGGTGAGCTTCCCCAGTGTAACTGAGAAGCTGAGAGCATTGAAAAGAACAAGATTCTCCTGGTACAATGTATGGCAGTTTCCCCAGTCTGTTTCCCTTGTCGAATGGGTTCCCGCCATTGTTTAGGTATTAAATTTATATGTGGCCCTGAGGATTATGAGTACTGTAGTCCGAGACATTGGAAGGGCATGCATTATTGCGATCCTATTTCATTGACTGTGATTGTGTGTGTGTGTTTGTGTGTGTGTGTGAGAGAGAGGGGGCAGGCAAGAATTTCCTGTGCCTTTAGAAAAGGCAGATTATGCCTCTCTCTCCCTCCCTCCCTCCCTCCCTCTCTCTCCCCCTCTCCCTCTCCCTCTCCCTCCCTTCCTCTCTCTCTCTCTCTCCCTCTCCCTCCCTCTCTCTCTCTCCCTGCCTTCCTCTCTCTCTCCCTCTCTCTCTCTCTTTCCCTCTCTCTCCCTCCCTCCCTCTCACCCTCCCTCCCTCTCTCTCTGTCCCTCCCTCTCTCTCTCCCTCCCTTCCTCTCTCTGTCCCTCCCTCTCTCTCTCCCTCTCTCTCCCTCCCTCTCTCTCTCTCNTCTCTCTCTCTCTCTCTCTCTCTCTCTCTCTCACACACACACACACACACACACACACACACACACACCCATGTGACGCACTGCAAGGAATGCTCTCCTTTGGGGCTCTTGTCCTTTAAAGAGCCTCCTGTTTACTGCAGCTGCAGTCAGACAATTCAGACACTGGTTGCCAACAATGAGCGCATCTTGGCTGCCTCCGAACCTTTGGAGCTGAGCGTTTCTTTTGGCTCCCTGGCTAGTTTTCAATCCTTCAAAGAGAGAGGGAGGGAGGGAGGGAGGGACGGGACTTTTCTGGAACATCCCTGCCTCCGTGGCTCTGCAAAGAAACACCAAACCACCCACCTAACCACAAAGGTGCCCATTCTTGCAGCCTTTGGGCCTCCTTGCATGACAGCTCTCCCAGCTTTCTCTTTCCCCTAGAGCCCTTCCTCTGTCCGATATTCAACTTGTGTGTGTCCTCTGTCCGATATTCAACTTCCCTCCCGTTGTTTTTCATCTCTCTGGCCACCACATTTCCTCCCCGATCCTGGTGGGAAACAGATGGCTCTTGCAAGCTGTCCCTCTCTCATCAGGGACCATCGGATCGCAGTCTCTCTGCCAGAGGTCATCTCTGCCTCTTTGTCTTTTCGGTCCTTCGATGTTAAGCAGGGTTCCGGCGGCCAAATTTCCAGGCAGAGGTTAAATAACACTGAGCAAAGCAGACCTGGGAATGTGCCTGATCTTATGCTAAGACTTGGGGAAAAGTGCAGAGAAGAGCAACTAAAATAATTAAGGGCCTGGAGGCTAAAACATACGAAGAACGGTTGCAGGAATTGTGTACAGCTAGTCTAGAGAAAAGAAGGACCAGGGGTGACATGATAGCAGTGTTCCAATATTTGAGGGGCTGCCACAGAGAAGAGGGGGTCAACCTATTTTCCAAAGCACCAGAAGACAAGAAACAACAGATGGAAACTAATCAAGGAGAGAAGCAACCATGAATTAAGGAGAAACTTCCTAGCAGTGAGGACAATTAACCAGTGGAGCAGCTTGCCTCCAGAAGTTGTGGGTGCTCCACCACTGGAGGTTTCTAAGAGGAGACTGGACAACCATTTGTCCAAAATGATATAGGGCAGGGGTAGGCAACCTTGGCTCTTTTATGACTCGTGGACTTCAACACCCAGAATTCCTGAGCCAGCATGGTCCACGAGTCATAAAAGAGCCACGGTTGCCTACCCCTGATATAGGATCTCCTGCTTGAGCTAGAAGATCTCCAAGGTCCCTTCCAACTCTCTATTATTCTGTATTTAGATTTAGCCTTGTTTGGAACATGACTTTGAACATCAAAATCCCCCAAAAGCCTTTTTTTTCCCCTCCACAACAGAGTCTGCCAAGAATGCACATCTGAAGTAGGGTGATAAAGACCGAGCAGTGACATTCTTTGCAAAGAAATTTGTAGCAAGGAGTAAGAAACGGAATGGGCATTGGAAATTGGAAAAGAAGGTACTTAGGTGGCGAGAGGGTCTGCTCCAGGAAATCCTCAATCTTCAGAAAATCTGTTTTCAGCTCCTTGTTGAACACTAAAAATGGAGGGTTGGTGCCTGGGGCCAAATCCTTCAGCTCATCAGGTTTCCTAAACGGAAATTACAACAGAGAGGAAGAATAAATAAATAAATAAATAAATAAATAAATAAATAAATAAATAAATAAATAAATAAATAAATAAATAAATAAATAACAATGCCCCTGACCTTGGTTTTATCTCCCCACCTTACCACCACCCCCTTCGTCTTCTTCTTTTTTTTAGTTCATTCTTCATTCAACTCCTAAGATTACCTGGCGATCCAACTCCTAAGATTACCTGGCGATTACCTGTCCACCTGCAAAGGTGGACAGAGATCTCAATTTCACTTCGCCGATATTGAAATATATTTAGGTTTGCCTATGTTTTGGTGGACACTTGTGCATCCATTTGTCTGAAATGGCATAGGGTTTCCTGCCTGAGCAAGAGGTTGGACTAGAAGACCTCCAGGGTCCCTTCCGACTCTGTTATTCTGCTATCTTCCTTCCTTCCTTCCTTCCTTCCTTCCTTCCTTCCTTCCTTCCTTCCTTCCTTCCTGCCTGCCTGCCTGCCTGCCTGCCTGCCTGCCTGCCTGCCTGCTTGCCTGCCTGCCTGCCTGCCTTCCTTCCTTCCTTCCTTCCTTCCTTCCTTCCTTCCTTCCTTCCTTCCTTCCTTCCTTCCTTCCTTCCTTCCTTCCTTCCTTCCTTCCTTCCGTCTTCCCTCCCTCCCTCCTTCCCTCCATGCCTCCCTCATCACTGGAGGTTTTCAAGAAGAGATTAGACCATCATTTGTCTGAAATGGTCTAGAGTTTCCTGCTTGAGCAGGGGGTTGGACTAGAAGACCTCCAGGGTCCCTTCCGACTTTGTTATTCTGTTCTATTATTCTGTTAAATATGTCTGCAACGGAGCTTTTCCTCCCAGATATGCTGTCTCTTTTAACTATCTTTTCTCAAACCTAGGCATTTTTGTGCAAATATTTTTTCTTAGTATATATTTCAGGATTTGATACAAGTGCACACTCCCACTAGTAATATTCAACCAGGTAGTAGGCTGTGTTGTTGTTATCCTTGTCATCTTCTCCTCTTTCCCATCTCTCATCTTTCCAACTACCCTCTACTATTGGTATCTTATGATTTATCAGTCGTTTGTATCTTATGATTTATGATCGTATCTTATGATTTGTGATCTGTGACTTATCACTTTGCGTGGGTTTTTTTTATGTACACTGAGCGCTTACACGCCGGAGACAAATTCCTTGTGTGTCCAATCACACTTGGCCGATAAAGAAGTCAATAAGTCATTTTCAGATTCTCGTATGGTTTCAGTACAAGACCTTAGTTGTGTTTTCAATGAAAGGCGAATGCATGAAAAGTCCCCCTCCGTCCCTCTCACCTTGTCATATCCACAGTGGTGACATTAAATCTGACACCTTTGAGCCACAACACCATAAAGAGGCTTTGACAGAACGGGCAGTTTCCGATGTTCTGTCCATCCAAGCCAGCCTGCCATAGGAAAAAAAAAAACCAAAGCAAAATAAAGAAGCGACGTATTTGTTCTGAGTAACACTTTCCCCATGACAAGCAAGTAGATTGGACCCAAATTGTCCAGCTTTCCTGATGTTGGGTCTTCCATCTCTGCAAAGAGGTTAAACCCCTTGGAGCTTCATGCTAGCATTTCTTTTCTGCTTTAATCAACTCAGCAGAGAAATGACACCTTGATGACTCTGGACATACTATATACATTTATGTTTTTATTAAAAGTTTTTAATCTTTCTAAATTTAACTTAATGAATTCCCCCTTTCTACGTCCTGCATTTACGACGTGGGACGAGACCAGACAAGACTAGCACGGATGATGTTCCCTAGTTTGGGTAATGAAATATCTGCAAGAAAGCAACCACCAAGGGCCAAGGGCCCCCTCAGTCTACCCACCTACCCAGAAACAAGAGGCAGATACAACTGGGAGCAGGAAGTCTCATAAGTAGTAGTAAAAAGGAGTAAGAAGCAACCTCGTCAGTCTCCTGAGTCATAAGTAGATGCTTTGTGATGGCCACACCCATGATGGAAGCCATTGTATGAGTCAGGAAACCCTTCCCCTCTACACAGGACAACTAAACACACTATCAGGGGTGGGGTCGTTAAGTTTACTGGAAGGTTTATTGGGGTGTCGTGGTCTTCACCTTGTCTCTTCTAGTTACCTCCTCTTTCCTTCCAACGCAAGAAGTGTTGTCTTCGGGAGGTGTCCCGAAGAGCGAGTGAGCTCCCTTGGGCTTTGCATCTAAATCTAAACAGGGAAACTTCCTCTCTAGATCTTTAGGAGCTCCTCACTTTCTCTTGCTTCTTCAGAACCCTATGGAGATTCTCTGCCACCCAGGACACGGTTGTCCCAAAGGTGCTTTTCAAAAGGCAACTTGGACTTTCTTGGGGGTTTTTCTTCTTGAGAAACTTTCGCTTCTCATCTAAGACGTTTTTTTTTCAGATCTAGATGAGAAGCGAAACGTTTTCAAGGACATAACCAAGAAAGTCTAGTTGCCTTTTGGAAAAAACCCCTTGGGGCTCCTTCCTAAGGTCGAACCGGTCCTATTTCAGGCCAATCCCTGCTGCTTGAAAAGGGCCTTCCTAACTGAAAGCAAGTGTGGTTGTTTTGTTCTGTTTTCAAAGCAAACAGCACATGATTTCCGTTTCCTTAGGTGCGGGCTGGATCAGGGGTGAAAGCAATACTGAAAACTCCCAACGCGGCTTGCCAGCCTGTTGTAGCCCTCGTCATCTTTGGAGTTTGCGATTGTGAGTTGTTCAGGAAATGAGATAAAGGACGGCTGAGCACAGGAGGTCCTCCCAATGGGGAACCTTGGATACAACACAAAGTGTTGGTGTTGTTGGGTTGCAGCGAAGGAGGAGGGGGGGAAAAACCCCAGAAGGAAAGGTGTGGAAGGAAAACACAAATGTTTTCCTTAAGAGTCATGGGACACTTTCTCTGTTTTTTCCTTTTCTATTCCTTTTGATTAGATCTTATAAGGAAGGGGTAGCTGAACTACCGGTAATCAGATTTTTCCGTGAGTTATTCTTTTAAACCCTGAACATACAATGTGGAAATAACTTCTCACCAGCTTGCTTATTTCTGTTTCTCTTCCTACTTGATAGATTAAATTAAAGAGAGAGATTATTTTCCGCGATTAGGGTCCCAGTTTATAGCATTAGCTGCTAGAGGAAGCTAGAGGGAAATTTAAAAGCCTGTTTTTGTTGCGGAACTGAACATTGGTCCACCAGCTAGAGCTGAGTGCCAAATTGTAGCAAATGGGAGAATCAAGACACTGAAAGCAGAATGACTGGTCTGTTGCACACATGAGGAAGCCTAGCCAGTTCCCACCTTGCATGAGGTCTTTATTTGTTGAAGGATCTTTTTTTAAAAAAACACTTCAGTCACATTCAGCTCAACGCTCAAACATGCTAAAGCTTAAAGCCTGGTTTACAAGCCATAATTTGGGCGATTTGGAGAATAGTCAAGCTATTGTCCAAAGCGCCCAAAGGCAGGACAAGAAGCAACGGATGGAAACTCATCAAGGAGAGAAGCAACCTAGAACTAAGGAGAAACTTCCTGACAGTGAGAACAATTAACCAGTGGAACAACCTGCCTCCAGAAGCGGTGAATGCTTCAACACTGGAAGTTTTTAAGAAGAGACTGGACAGCCATTTGTCCGAAATGCTATAGGGTTTCCTGCCTGAGCAGGGGGTTGGACTAGATGACCTCCAAGGTCCCTTCCAACTTTATTATTATTATTATTATTATTTGGGCTCACCCAAAACACCAAGTCAAAACAATGTCTTCTGCTAGAGTGTATCTCAACCTTGACAAACTTTAAGATGTGTGGATATCAGCTCTTGGAATTCCCCAGCCAGCATGATGGGAAAGCCCACACACCCTTCAAGTTGCCAAGGTTGAGAAATGTTGGTCCATTGTGCTACAGAAATCCACAGGATGAGCTGCATCCATTTTTTAAATCGGTTGCTCTTTGGATTTGTGGGGGACAAGCTAGGAAGATCCGTCTCTGGCCATCAAGGAAAACGAGAACTCCTTATGTATTTCGGTCCAGATTTTGAGTAATAGAAATTTGCCATGGTTACTTACAACCACACAGCATTGCCCAAAACTCTGATTCAGAAAAAAGGAAGAGGCTGGAGCTGAAGGGAGTTGTAGCCCAAAACACCTGAAGTTGTGAAAGGGTTTAAGGTGAATTGTATGAGCCACAACTATAGAAAGAATGAAGATGCCTTGACACATAAGTGTAAGGATGGATGCCTTGACACATAAGTGTAAGGATGGAATAATTTCTAGATGAAGCCAACCAACGTTGTTAAAATGCCACCCAATTTATGGTGGCATCAGTTTTTATGGATATGAATTCATTTCATCAGAACCATATTAGTGCACGGAGTATGGCACTTGCACACAATTGTTTTGGAAGGGAAGGGGAGAAGGGAAAAGGAAGAATAATTTAAAATGGATTAGAAAGAGAATGACTTTTGGGGTCCCATAAATTGGTTAACACATGGAGAAAGAAAACTCCATCTCTACAGCGTTAAGTTTACTTGTGAATTCTAACTCAGATCAAATTCTTGTATCAGAGTTCAGGATTACCACAATGACACAACACTTAATGATAAAGTGTCATCTCTGGCTAGATCTCACAGGAGTTTTTCATCCTCCCTCCCTCATCTCATCCGTGCTACTTTTACCTTTCTCCAGTAGTAAGAATTAACTGCAATGAGATCCAAAGAGGTCTTCACACAACATCTGTCGATGTCCCCCAAAAGTATTTTGATCAGCAAAATGAGCTCTTGAACTTTTGGTCAGCTCCAAGCAAGAGGCCAAGTTTTTATGGGAGATATCTTAATGGCTACACCCAAGCCCTTCATCAAATAATAAGATAGAGCTCCTGAAGTACCAAATGTCCAGAAACCTTAATTTATGTAGTAGTAATTTATGAAACTATGTAGTAGCATAGTTTCATTGTTGTAGACTCTAGACTTAAAGGTCTTAGCCACCCACAATCATGCACATTACGTTTATGATTTGCTGCTGGGATCTGCCAGTCCTCTGTTATTCTGCCCCACAACCTGCTTGTTCTTCTGAACAAGGCCCCCGACACCTGACCCCAAAGTCTACCTTGGCAACGAAGAGGAACTGACCTTTACAAACAGCTCAATCTCCGGTTCCTTTAGGGGATTACGAAGCCAACTTGCCATCCTCTCTCTTTAGCTGGCCACCAATCCTTGCCGAGAAGTTCCTTCCACCACGGTATGTTTGCAAGCAGGCTTCCCCAACGATGCACTGGGTAATTTTTCAGGGCAAGGACTCTCTAGGGGAGACGGTGACCTTTCATGATTGAACCCCCCCCTTTGTGGGAAGCCGCTTTGCTGTTCCTGTCTTTCTTTCAGGCTAAGCCAGAAGTCGTGACGAGGTGAGCCGAGCAACCTGCTACCAGCCAGAGGGGGATCTCCGTAAAGACCTCCCAGCCATGACTCAGCGACACGGTTTATCAGAAAGCCACATACCACGTTCTCCTCTGGTCTATCAGAAGAGCCAGATGTCTAATTCTCAGAGAAACAAGCCAGAATACGTCCTTCACTGGAGCGTCACTCCGCAGCTGCCAGAGTTTCTATAACAGGAAGTGAGTCGGGAAGCATCTCAAACCTCACTCAATATATTCCTGCCCTATGAGAATTCCTCCTCCACCCAAGGACATCCTACCTTTTATTTACAGACTCATTTCCCCAATGATGAACTTTGACACAGCTAAATGGCCCTGTCCGTGAATCAAAGGAACGAGGTAACGGATTTAGGGGGATTCCGAACATGGCAGAAATGAAAATATAATTTCAGGTTAGAGACCTGTGTTGAGATGAATTGCTTAAATGATCCCATTTCCCAACCAGTTCTAGCCATGGTCCAGAAAGCTCTTTAGAAAATAGAAGGAGGACCATTGAACGAGAAGAAGTGGAATGGTCTTCCCAAGAAGGAAACGTGATTGGATGGTCTTCCTGAATAAAGATACTCCATCTTACAGCATTTTATCATGAATTACGATTGGATGGATGGATGCCTAGATAAATGGATGGGTGGGTAGCTGGCTGGGTAGGTAGGTGAATGAGTGGATGGATATGGATGACAGTTCCGTTCCCGGAAGAGACAGCCTCGTGGGTGGGAGACCTTGCTCGACGGGGGTCTCTAGGCCCACTAAGGCCTAGAGGGGAGGAAGGCGGCGCGGGAATTCTGGACCAACAAAGTCGCCCGTCCTGACCGGATCCCCATAAAATTTAACCAAAATCGGTTTAAAATCATCTTCGCCGGCTAAATTTATAAATAAAAATATGATTTTTAAAACTTTGTATTGTATTGTATTAAACTGTTTTTAACTGGCTGTAAGCCGCCCTGAGTCCTACGGGAGAAGGGCGGGGTATAAATATAATAAAATGAAATGAAATGAAATGAGATAGACAGACAATAGACAGATTTGAAAATGGGGGATAGAATGGATCCTACAAGAGAGCATAGCTTGCTGACTGGCTGAAATTCTCTCCCTCCCTCTCTCTCTCTCTCCCTCTCTCCTTTTATTCAATCATGTCTGATCCTTGGAGTTCAAGTCCCTGCAGTTTTCTTGGCAAGCTTTTTCAGAAGTGGTTTGACATTGCCTCCTTCCTAGGGTTGAGAGAAACTGACTGGCCCAAGGTCACCCAGAGGACTTTGCAGCTAAGGTGGGACTAGAACTCTCAGTCGCCCAGTTTCTGGCCTGATGCCTTGAGGAATGCCACCAAACTGGCTCTCTGACATTCTCTAGACTCAATTCGCTAAATCAATTTACTGCACCGTTCGTGTGTGAGCGTGTGCTTTAAAGCTCAAGACACAGAAAAATCTTTCCCTTTCCCTTTGAAAAGGGAGGGCTTTCCTTCCGAAACAATTTAACAAAGCCCAGGCGTTGAAGGAAATTATGCTGCTGCTTCTGCTACTGTTGTTTTGCTTTTCCAAAGCAAACCACGAGGAAAAGCACGAGGTGCTATTTGTCCCTTGACATTGCATCACAAACAATGCCCTTCTTTCACAGCTCTGCATGGGCGACAAACATTTGCCTCTTGTTTTTTTGTCCTTGTTGACCTCCGTTTCTTCACTCGCTGTGAAAAGGGACAGATAAGGCAGAATCTTCAACTCGACTGCGTTGGTGCAATCTGCTATGTACTGCATTTATTTGCTGCTGGAAACTTCACCTTTTAAAAGCGTCGCAGTCAGAAGCATTGTTTAGCATCTAGAGGAATGCCTTTTAAAATGGGTACAAATTTTGTTGTTGTTAGTCGCGAAGTCGTGTCTGACCCATCGGGACCCCATGGGCAACATTTCTCCAGGTCTTCCTGTCCTCTACCATCTTCTGGAGTCCATTTAAGCACACGCCTACTGCTTCAGTGACTCCATCCAGCCATCTCATTCTCTGTTGTCCCCTTCTTCTATTGCCCTCCATCTTTCCCAGCATTAGGCTCTTCTCCAGTGAGTCCTTCCTTCTCATTAGGTGGCCAAAGTACTTGAGTTTCAACTTCAGGATCTGGCCTTCTAAGGAGCAGTCGGGGTTGATCTCCTCTAGAACTGACCGGTTGGATCGCCTTGCAATCCAGGGGACTCGCAGGAGTCTTCTCCAGCACCATAGTTCAAAGGCCTCAGTTCTTTGGCGCTCAGCCTTTCTTATGGTCCACCTTTCACAGCCATACATTTCAACTGGGAAAACCATGGCCTTGACTAGACGCACTTTTGTTGGCAGGGTGATGTCTCTGCTTTTTAGTATGCTGTCTGGATTTGCCATAGCTTTCTTCCCCAGGAGCAAGCGTCTTTTAATTTCTTGGCTGCAGTCTTCTACCAAATCTGAGCTTTCAAACTCTATGTCGCTTTGCACATTGTTAAAGAACTGACACAATGTGTGTTTTGCTACAGTGGAGTTCTTCTACTTTAAATCATTCCCTTCTTGGCAAGCAACTTCTGTGTTAAACTTAACGTCTTGGAGGCTCATGGCACAATACAGCCGTTTAAATAGCAATGTAAACATTGAATTAATGGATGCTCTACTGTAGGCGTCTCTGGCTTTCAGATGTTGCTGAATTTTCACTTTTCGGCTCTTTAGACAGCCTGAGCAATGGTGAGGGATCTTGGGAATTATATTCCGGGAACATCTGGAAAGCCACGGCGTGGTTTTTCTCTGCACAGTTAGAAATAGCAAAGGGCCACCATCGGGAATTAGAAACGGTTTAACTCAGGAAAACCCAAAGAGCGATGCTACCGTAATGCGGAAAAGAATAATCTAATTAATTGGGTAAATGTTGTTGCTGAAAAAGAAGGGTAATGAGTAAACAGCTAATTAAAATAACAGTTGTCGGAAGAAATTGGGTAACAGCTAAATGAACTTTTGCTACCAAGCTAGAATGAAATAGGATTTTGCTGGTAATGTTGAGTATTTCTGGATTTTTTTTTAATGGAAGAGGTTTTGCTATTTTAAGTGCTGTGTGGGGCTGCCGTATACATTCAGATTCTCGCTGTTGCAGGAAGGCCGTGCCTGAAGAGTTCTGAATAGTTTCAATATAGAAAATAGAACGAAACACCTATGGATCACTAATGTAGACTTTTACTATGGGGAGCTGCACTGCATGACAGTTAGCTTCCAGGTGCAATCAAACCAGCTCTTTGCCACCAAGAAGCCCTTCCTGTTTTAGGTCTTGGACATCCTTGAGATGCCTTCTCTGGATTGAATCTGCATGTCTGGCAAAAACTGGACGAGGGTCTTGTGAAGGGTCTCCCCACTAAGAGAACACTATCTACGGTGACCACCTAGCTGTATTTTCTCGGTGATGGTCTCTTCAGTGGAATAGCTTTTCCCCCGGACACCTCGATTGCCTCTTTTCGGCTGGGCTTCCAAAGAGTTGGGAAGACAGCGGTTCAGGAAAGTGTTTGGGACAATATGGAATAGAATAACAGAGTTGGAAGGGACCTTGGAGGTCTTCTAGTCCAACCTCCTGCTCAGGCAGGAAGCCCTATACCATTTCAAACAAATGGTTGTCCAGTCTCTTCTTAAAAACATCCAGTGTTGGAACATTCACAGCTTCTATAAATATAAACCACTCTGCTGCTGTTGGTAGCACTGCCAATGGATATTGCCACTATAATTATTGTGTTTATTGTTTTTAATCCATATTATTACTTCCATGCTACTCAACAACTTTGGGAATTGAGTGGCTTAGAGTCTATAGAAGGTTCTTACATGCACAAAAATAAGGTAAAATAATGAACTCAGACAAGGAAAAGGTGCATCTATCAGTGGAATAAGAAGCATTATTTTGGTTTTTAAGTTGGGGCCCGATGATGTCCAAAGCCAGCACAGGTTGACTGGATCTCTTTTAGTTAGCTAGCCACACACAAACATGCACACACACACACACACGCTGCCAGCCACGTACAGAACCAGCTCATTGTTAATGGACAATAGGAGTGTTTAGTTCCAGCAGCAGAAGGAGATGAGAGAGAACAGCAAATTGCACTGGAGTCTGGGCTACATCAAGGCTGGCTATGCAGTGCCATGCCTGGATCCTGGCTAATGGGTTGGCTTTGGCTGGTTGCAACCGTGGTGAGCTTGTCCTGTTATCCAGCATTCCTGGAGGCAGCTCCTGAGTTTTCAGGTAAGTTTCTGAGATGATGGGCTAAAACTGGGAGGAAGGAGGGTCCTGGTTTAACATTGTCAGTTGCTTTCTTCTGGCTGACTGTGGCTGAAGATGAGACATGACAACATCTACCTCGAGTTCTTAAACTTCTCTTATTCCTGCAAGGAAAACTGAGGCGATCAAAAGAAAGTCAGCTCATTCTGAGAGGGATGGTGGGAATGATAAATAAAGGCCTGTGTGTGTGTGTGTGTGTTTATGTGTACTTCTTCTTTTGAATGATGACTACAAACTAAAAAAAAAAACAAGGAAAAATTTTGGTTGTCAATGTTGGAAGGGACCTCGGAGGTCTTGTAGTCTAACCTTCTGCTCAAGAGGGATTCCCTATACCACTTCAGACAAACGGTTGCCCAGTCTCTTCTGAAGTTGCACCCATAACTTCTGAAGGCAAGTTGTTCCACAGATTAATTGTTCTCACTGTCAGGAACTTTCTCCTTAATTCCAGGAATTGCTCCTCTCCTTGATTAGTTTCCATCCGTTGCTTCTCGTCCTGCCTTCAGATGCTTTCGGTTGACCATTGACTTGCATTCACACCACCCTAACAGAAATATTTCTTTCCTGTTTTAGAATTGCTAACCAACAGTGCTTGCATCGCTTCTATTTGTTTATCTTTCTATGTGTTGTGTTGTCAGATCTAGGGTGCTTCACTACAAATTGGAAAGAGCATTTGTAGGACTTGAACCATTCTCACAACTAAGGCTGTGTTATTA